ATAGTATATCATATGTAAGAAAAATAATGCAATGTTTTTATCATATTTTATTATCGTTACTCAGAATTTAAATAGTTTTCGTATTGAGATTATTTCCCTGTAGGAAACCTTTTACTAAAGTATTAATTAAATTATTAACTGCTGTACAATTAAAAAATATATTGTTACATTTAAAAATAAAAAAAAGACTGTCAGAGTACAATAAAAAAAAAAAAAAAAAAAAAAATCTTAGTTAAATTTAGGCAATAAATATTTTAATTTTATACAATTAATGAAAAATAGTTTGTAAAATTTTTAAAACGTATTTAGATTGATAAAAATTAATATATATATAATCAAATATTTTTAAGACAGAGTAATACTTCTAAAAAATTTTTAGTTGATTCATTCGGAAAAAAAAATTTTTTAAATTTATTATTTATAGCTTTGAATTATTTTAGCTTAATAGTTTTGCCTAAAAATGTTTTAATTTTTATTTCTTTTATTACATTAATTTTTTTTTTTTTTAATTTGTTTATTCTTTTAATAAAAAAGACTTGTAATTTAATAATTTATTGAATTCATCGCTTAAACGTGGTATTTGTAACAAAAAAAGAAAAAAAAAAAATTTGTAAAATTTTCTAATTATTTAAAAACAAACAAAAAAAAATAAGTTAAAAAATTTTTGTTATACACTTTCATACAATCTTTTTTTTTGTATTCTTCGAAACAAAACATGGACAGCGCATATTGAATAATATTATTAATCAATGTTAATTCTGGTAATTATATTATTATTATTTTTTTTTAGAGTCACTATAAAGAGAAAAAACGTCCTAGAGCATGTATTATATATATATATATATATATACACGCATTTAATGGTGTTTTACTAAAAATCGGTTCGGTATTTTTTTGGGTTTAATGTTTTTCATAAAGGAGTTTATCGATAACTTGCCAACGTAAATAAAATATATCAGCATATATTAACAAATTTAAGTTACCTGAACTATTTAATTACTTATTCAATTTTTTCATTTCTTCTAAAAATACATATTTGATAAAATTCACACGCCGATAGAATTTTATTAGTATTACAATCAGTTTTTCAAAATGGCTTAAAAATTTTATTGGTATTTAAAAATTAGTTAGAAATTGTAATTAAAAAAAATTTTTTTTTGTCTTTAATGTAAATAAAAACGGTTTAGAAAATTTTAAATACTTGAATTAATCAAATTTTGTGACGCGATCAATTCCTTGCAAAAAAAAATATTTAAAAAAAAAAAATTTGATTGAAATTTAAATTTATCCCATCACTTTTTACATACATCAAAAATCTTAAAAAGCAAAAATAACTTTAAAATCATTTAATTTATTTATAATTTTTTCTTTGCCTATCCGAAGATTTAAAACATTTTTGTTGTAATTCTTTTTATTATTTAATGGTAAAATTTTATTTTTGTTATAATATAGGATAAAATACAGGGCAAAATAAAAATTACATATTTCACGAATTGTATAATAATTATATATTTCT